TCCATTTTGTCATGACGCCTGGGATGATGCTGGATCAATACAAAGCGGGAAGCTTCGCCCCATTCCTCTCCGACCCTCACCAGATACGGAACGGAAAAGAGAAACACGATTATCTGGCCCTGACCCAAGAATAGATTTAACTTTGTGCCGGACAAATGGACGCCAGTCACGGTAGCACTCGTCATCTACTTCAGGGCCGACACGCGATCATCCCTTGAGACCAAACTGTATCGACCTGAAGCATGGGAGCAGATTGTGGTGGAAGAAACGAGTTTATGCTCGTCTAAGTGACGTACAGTGTGATCATGTTCCACAAGAATTAACTCGAGAACAGATAACCTAGTTTTATGTAAATTTAATATTGGGCAGTTCTTAGAAAAAATTCGCAAACATTTCAATTTTAATTTATATATGACAATTTTATGAGATGTCGTGTAAAAAGTGATGATCTAATGTAAATCTAACATTTCGATAGAGAACATCATTTAATATATTTTAAATATTTAAATGCTAATTATAGTAATATTTTAATATTTAATAGGAATTTCATTGTGATTAGACTGACAAGATTTAAACAAATATATGACAATTTTAACTACCGTTTTACGTAAGAAGATAAATATCACGAGCTTATCTAAGATACTTGCGATAAGTCACATAAACTGATACTTCTAGCTCATTTTACTAGACATGAGAAGCAACTAGCATACATTGAGTTTGGCTTAATTTGATAAATACTCACTAGAGTAGGCCTGCACAAATTTACTACAAATTTAGGAGCCATCTCCTAAAGCTGAGAGCCAGAATCATTAAAATTTTAGGCGACGTTGCGTCCGGGATTTGTGAAATCCTGAGCCACAGTCATCATTATGATCAAATAAGACATGCGCAGTTCAGTTGATTTTTAATCCTCCATTTTGTGTCACCTTTTCCACCATGAGTGTAGTCTCCTGACATTTTCTCTCTAAGGAAAAGCAAACACTCTACTAAGTTAGTTCCAGTGATCACTAATACGATTAAACCCTCAATTTTGAAGTCTCTGCAAATTGCCTCGCCAACCAACAAACTTCGATGTACTCGTATTACAGAACAAGATAATTCAACTTCGTTCTATTGAAAGTTGAACAAGAGTCAGAAACTAGCAGCTTATTATCCCTTCTTCTTAAAAGAGAAGTTGTGGGTTCGAATCTTTATGTCAGTATATCGTCAGTTCTGTTTTGCAGTACAGCCCTGTATCCGGCCAAATATACACGTATGCATTATTTGAATCCAGTACGAAGGTTAA